CAATTAGATTGTAATACAGTTAGGCTTACCTTTTGAGTGTGTTTACAACTAATTCGTCGCTTGAGGACAAGCAACGCTTAAGTGTGAGGAGATTGATAAGTCCATTTTTGTACTTATTTTTCTTATCAAATTTAAGCGATTTTTGAATGAAAATAGAAAGAAAAGACACATTTTATATATTTTGGTTCAAGTTTCATGAAATCAGGTAAAAATCACATCCATAATATGTTTAGCGGGATTTCGGGTCAATTGAGCACAAAATGAGTCAATTTGAGTGACAAATGCATTTATACCGGAAGAAGCAAGCATTTTATCAAGGTGATTCAGAAGACAAAGTTGAAGAGCAAGAAAAGCCGCATCTGCCAGACAAAAGTGGCCGAAGGCGCCCAAATAGGCGCCCAAAATGGAGGCCTTCGCGGCCGCCTACGGGAAAATTCAGAAGTCAACCTCGCTTTGACTCGGGACCAGGAAAAGACCGAAGGCTGCCGACACTGGACAGAAGGCGGCCGCCTACGGTGGGCGCCTGCGGCACAAGGGGACGAAACCAACCACCGATCGGCCAGACAAGACGGCAGGCGGCCAGACAGGACGGCAGGCGGCCGCCTGCTGGACCGCCTGCGGCGGCCGGGGTCCGCCGGGATCCGTCGGGATCCGATCTGCCAACGAAAAGATGGCAGGCGGCCATTTTTGACAGAAGGCGGCCGCCCTCTGTGGCCGCCTACGGCTGACGGGACCGCCACCGACGGTCTGCCGGCGACAGGACGGCAGGCGGCCAGAGGTTGCCGGAAGGCGGCCGCCTGCCCGGGCGCCTACGGGAATTTTTCGGCTATAAAATCCAGGCTTTTTCCTCAACTCAAAGACACCAATTTCAAGCCCAAATCAGATCAAAAAGGGCGTCTTCTTCCTCCTCAAAGCTCGGATTTCCACCATTGTTGCACCTTCAACTTCAATCTTTCATATCTTTCTCATTTTAGCTCCAAATTGTGAGTTCTTTATATGTATTTTCATCCTTTCAATGAGTAGAATCTGAATCTGTATTTAGTTTTTTCTATCTGTGCTTCTAAAATTTTCAGAAAATTATTCCACTATTTCGCATTTTCTTCTTAAATTTGAATAAAATAGTTGTTGACATTAAATCCATTCCAATTAATTATATAGTTGTTTACTAGCCTCAAGGTAGTTATTTATCAAAACAAAGTTAATTTTTACGAAGTAGAAGTAAATTTTAATTAATTCCGGCATTTAGTTGTTATTATTGCATAAATTAAATTAAATACTCAAAAAGGTAAAAAAATTAGTTTCTGTCCTAATTCCAGTTTAATTCACAGTAATATCACTCCCAGTAGTCAATATAAAATTTAGAACGAATGTAGAATAATTTTAGTTGCCTTTTGCATTTTCTAGTTAAAATTGGGAAAAATATCAATTAGTTGTTAAAATTGGATTTTAGGTTCAAAAATTCGTGAAAAATTCCAGAAAGTTATACTTCAGTTTCTACAAGTTTAGTGTTCCAGAATATAAGTTTTGCTATCATCCATGTTTAATTCCTTGTTAATGTTGAATATATTCATTATATTGTTAGTTGTTAAAATGATCTTTATTAGCTAAATTTGTTTTGGGCATGAATTGACTAAAGGAATATGGATTGACTTGTTGACCAAAAAAATTAGGGATTAAAATTAATAATAGGGACTAGTTGTTTGAAATGATGAAATAGTAATTAATAATTGTTAGCCATATTTATTAATTAAATTCTTGGAAAATTATCTCTAACTTGTCTATGAGATTAGAAAATAATTTAAGCCAACCATATTCGAGCACATTAATAAGGCCTAGAAATAGGATAATTTAATGAAATGGATTTACATCTTGTCTATGAGAGATAAATTCAATTGCTTAAATAATGAGTTTAACTAGTTAATGAATTTGGCTATTTTTATTAATTAAAATATTGGAGAATTATTTCTACCTTGTCTATGAGGTTAGAATTTAATTCAAGCCAACCATTTTGAACACATTAATGACACCTAGAAATAGGATAAATTAATGAAAATAGTTTCTATTCTTGTCTATGAGGAAAGAAATTATTAGTCCAATTTTAGTTTTAATTTCCCTAATTACTAGGTCCAAGAATATATCCATTTCTAATTACTCGATTCATTGCCCTTATTTGCATCAATCCATTTAAGTTTAATATTATATTTTTTTTCCTTTAGTTTATTTTTGAGCCATCATTAGTATTTGCACAATTTAATTTACTTTCTTTTCCAAAAAGTAGTTTAGAAAATCAATCAAAAGTTTTAATTTGGAAAGCTTCCAATAATTTGCGATAACCTGTGACTGGACTTGAAATCAAGAAGCTCCTCCGCCATTCCTCGAGAGACACGATACTCGGGGAAAAACCGAAAGGTTAGACTCCGTTTTACTACAACGCCGCGAAAGCGGTTATCAGTATCCCGCTAAGCCAAGGAAACTACGTATCTCTTTCACATTTTTGGGTCTCCCCCAATTCATAATGGCTTCTATCTTGGCTTTATCCACCGAAATGCCCGAACTTGACACGACATGCCCGAGAAACCCAATCTCTTTGAGCCAAAACTCGCATTTAGAGAACTTGGCAAAGAGTTGTTTTTCCCTTAGTCGTTCAAGTACAAGACTCAAATGATCTTCATGCTCCTCTTCACTCTTGGAGTATATCAAAATGTCGTCAATGAATACTATCACAAATTGATCTAAGTATTCACTGAACACACGGTTCATCATGTCCATGAATGCCGCCGGTGCATTGGTTAGACCAAATGACATCACCAAAAACTCGTAGTGACCATATCTCGTGCGAAATGCACTCTTAGGTATGTCACTCTCCTTTATCTTCAACTGATGATACCCCGACCTTAGATCAATCTTCGAGAATACTGTTGCCCCTCGAAGTTGATCAAACAAGTCATCAATCCTTGGTAAAGGGTACCTGTTCTTGATCGTGACCTTGTTCAACTGTCGGTGGTCTATACACATTCTTAGTGTACCATCTTTCTTCTTTACGAAGAGTACGGGTGCTCCCCACGGTGAATGACTGGGTCTAATGAACCCGTTGTCCAATAGCCCTTGGAGTTGAACCTTCAACTCTTGAAGCTCGGCCGGTGCCATTCGATAAGGAGGAATCGAGATGGGTTTGGTTCCCGGCTCCACTTCAATCACGAATTCGATCTCTCTGTCGGGTGGAAGCCCCGGCAAGTCTTTGGGAAAGACATCCGGATATTTGCACACGACACGTACATCGTTGATGTTAACCTCCTTCTTTGCTTCATCCACCACGTAAGCAAGGTATGCGTGGCATCCCTTCTTCATCATCTTCCGTGCCCTCATCACGGATATTATGCAACTATGAGATCCTCCCCGATCTCCCTCGAAACGTAGAGTGTTTCCCTCAGCATCCTCGAGTTCCAAAACCTTGGCATAACAATCCACTCGAGCATGATGTTTCTCGAGCCAATCCATCCCTAGAATTGCATCGAATTCTAACATACTTAGAGGTACGAAGTCACAAGTCAAAGGTTGACCCGTCACTTCTACCTCACACGAAGGATAGTAGTGTTTCCTCTCCACATCGTCTCCCAACGGTGTAGAGACCAACAAGGGTTGTGTCATTACCATCAACGGCACGTCTAAACTTTCGGCAAACGCTTCACTCACGAATGAACGTTGTGCCCCGGTATCAATGAGAATTCTTGCGTTCCTACCATTGATCTTTAATGTTCCTACATATATAAGTCATGTAAGACACACCACCCAACGTGCCGGATCGAAACGGGGCTTAACAAAAACATTTCGGGTGAAAATACACTGGACCGGCGCCGGTTCTAGGCAAGACCGGCGCCGGTTTGCCTTCGGGGTGGCCGGATACACGTAAATTGAACTGGACCGGCGCCGGTTATGGCCAAAACCGGCACCGGTTTACCATCGGCAACTTCGAAAAAATGTTTTTCTTCAAAAACCGGCCCCGGTTATGAGCACGGTGATTTTTCCGACCTCTTTTCCCCTAGACCGGCGCCGGTTATGGCCAAAACCGGTGCCGGTTTTGCAACGGCGTCTCCCGGAATTCGATTTTTAATAGGCTTAAGTCACCCCAACCCTTGACCGGCGCCGGTTATGGCCCAAAACCGGCGCCGGTTTACCCACGGCAACCCCAAAACGGGCGTTTTTAATTAGAACCGGCGCCGGTTTAAGCCTCGACCGGCGCCGGTTTACCCCTGGGCAGTTTATTTTTGCAACTTTTTGCTAGGAAACCGGCCGGTATCGGCCCCGGCGAGTCCGTACAAACCCGCTATCACTTTTAGCACTCAATACATGTAATTTATCAATCGTTACAAAGGATTACCTGCAACGGAGTCGGGATTAGCCCGAGCGTCGGCCTCGGTCATCGCATAGACCCGTGCTTGAGACCTCCCCTGATTCACGGACGGCGCGTTGCTCATGCTCGCTCCCCCTGGCCCCGTACTAGCATGAGGTGCCCCAGTCCGGTTCCTACTTGCCGTAGTAGCGCCACTCGATCCCGCCCCTCGGTTCCCACCAAGTTGGGGGCAATTTGGCTTAATATGCCCTGTACTCCCGCATTGGTAGCACCGTGGTGGATCACGACACTTACCCCCATGGTTCCTGTTACAGTTCCTGCATCTAATCATCATTGGGGCTTGCGAGCCCGAGGTTTGTCCACCCGTGCCTGAGCTTCCCCTAGATGGCGGTGCCGGTGCCCTAAATGATCCTCCTCCCCCATGGTTCACCTTCTTATTGGAGCCTTGGGGGCCATGGTTCTCCCACTTTCTCTTCTTCGCCTCCTCGGCGTCTCTCTTCTTCCTCTCCTCCCATTGCTTCTCTCCTTTCAACCCTTGGGCAACCACTTGGCTGAAAGTCATGTTGGGCAATTGAGTCGCCCTATCACGTATCTCCAAGTCCAAGGCCTCCCAAAAGTGATTCACCATTCGGTTTTCATCACAAGCATACTCCGGTATGTGGTCGGCAAGGTCCCTGAACTTGTGCTCAAGTTCTTTCACCGTCATGTTACCCCCTTGGGTTAGAAGAGTGTATTCTCTCACCTTGGCATTTACCTCAAAGTCCGAGTAGTATTGGGCAAAGAATTCTTGCCGAAAATCCTCCCAAGTAACATTCCCTCCATACTTGCCCTTGGTTCCATCCCACCACTTGGATGCCAACCCTTCAAGTAACCTCACCGCGATTCTCAGTTTGAAATCCGGGTTGGATGCCAACCCTTCAAGTAACCTCACCGCGATTCTCAGTTTGAAATCCGGGGTGAGTTGCATGTCAAGGGCTGCCTCGTTCAGCCTCTTGATCCATTGCGCGGCCACCGAGATGTCCCCCGTCCCGTCGAACGGTTTGCACCCCAAGTCCCTCGCCTCTTTGATGTATTTGGAGATCCTTATGGTTGGACCTCCATCACCTCGACTCCCATGCGCTTCCACATGGGTTCTTGAATCACAATAGCTCCTTCCTCTTGGAGCCCCACCCGAAGGTTGCCCCGCACGGCGCCTTCGGCGTTCTCTCCTTTCCTCGCGCTCCCGATGGTATTGTTGGAGCAACGCTTCAATCCTAGCCAAGGAGCCATTTTCCTCCTCGTCACTAATATCGTCGTCATCCCCTTCATAAGGGGTCTCAACCGGCTCAGTTTCCGGTAGGTAGGTTGAGTCCTCATAAGACCAATAGGTCTCACTCTCCGTGTCAACGTGGCCATCGCTCACGGTTTGATGTTGGCCTCCACGGCCCCTTCCTCTTGATCCCCTAGTGGACCCCCGGCTACCGCGCTCGGATCCACCCGGTACACGGCCCGTCGGGTTCCTCCTAGTGACCCTTCCGATTGGCTCCATTTCTGAAAGGAAGTAGAATGAGTCATCAGACTCGTATCAATGTCAAGTGACGGATAGGTACTTAAAGACATCCTTTGGCTCAAATCACTGCCATACCAATTGTTAAGGGTACCATCTTAACAATTAGAGACTTTGCAACTCAAGTACCAAAAGTTCTATAAGTACAAAACTTTTATGCTCATGGTTTTCAAATTCGTTTTCAAAAAGAGATTTTGAAGCTTCATTATGAAGTTTACGGACTAAGTCTCTGATACCAATTAAATTGTCACGCCCCGGACCTAACCGGACACGTCAACAACCCGCCGTACAGTACGAATAGTCAACCGCAGTCCAACACATCCATACGATACAAGGCGTCTGGAATATCATTCACACGTAGTACATCCATAAACAAACATAATGTAAAATATTCATTTAAAGCAGCGGAAACATTCAATACAAGTGTTCATGCCACACCTTGGCAAACATGGGCATACAAGCCCCCAAATAAATATTTAAAAATAATATCCATGAGCATTAATTTAAATGTTTTTAAAACAGGAACGGAGGAAGCACGAACCACGTCTTCCTTCCTTGAATTCACCCGGAGCAACGGGCACTGGTAGCAAGCTCAGCTCCTACCTGAAACTGTGAGGTGGCCTCCCCCGTGAAGGGGAGGTCAGTACTTGGAAGCATTTGACAAGTACAATGACAACTATACTAAGGGAGTGTTTGCAACTGCTTCTGCTTTAAAAAAAGCACTTTTGGAGAAGTAATGAAAAAGTGATTGGTAGTAAAAGTTGATAGTGTTTGAGAAAAAAGTGATTTTGAAAAGTAAAAGTTGGTAGTGTTTGGTAAAATAAGTGCTTTTTGTGTAATAGAAAAGGGAAAAGCACTTTTCACACGCAAGCCGAGAAAAAGTAAAAATTGGTAGTGTTTGGTAAATAAGTGCTTTTTAAAGCCAAAAGCTGAGAAGTGCTTTTTTTTAAGCAGTTGCAAACACTCCCTAAGTATAATCAATGTTTCAATTTCCAAGACCCTCAATCTAGGGTATTATTATCTCATGATTAACTTTGTTCGTTTAGTGTCATTTCATCATTTCTTACCACGGTCTAGAGCCCAGCTCAATAATCACCGTTACCTACTACGGTCTAGAGCCCAGCTCAATAATCACCGTCATCTACATCGGTCTAGAGCCCAGCTCAATAATCACCGATAACTACTACGGTCTAGAGCCCAGCTCAATAATCACCGTTATCTACATCGGTCTAGAGCCCAGCTCAATAATCACCGATAACTATTACGGTCTAGAGCCCAGCTCAATAATCACCGTTATCTACATCGGTCTAGAGCCCAGCTCAATAATCACCGATTCTTTACAATTAAATTTCTTAGGATCCATTCATCCATTATTCAACTACAATTCCAACTAATATTTCAATACTAGTTATTTACTCATTTCAATGTAATTCTTCATTCAATATGTAGTTTGACCTTAATGTCAAAATATCACTTTTATTCTTTCATGGTTTCTTCTCATGAATTAAAAGCATACTTATCACAAATGAAATTTATGGATGATACTACTATCATGCCATCATATTCATAACATATAAACATACACAATTTATTCAATAAATTTGTATATTATGCAAACTATACTTATAATCAATAGTAATTTCATTTAGGCATTAATAACCATTAACAATCCATGCAAATCACATTGTGTATTCATTTAGGAAATCTTATGAAATTAACCCAAAGATTTTAAGCAATATAGTCGGTCATCCTCACCTTAAGTGAGCTTACACGCGTTCTACGCTTCCCGGTTGAACTTTGACTAACTTTGACCAACTCCGGCAAACTTTGACCAACTCCGGCGAAACTCCGGCGAAGCTCAAAGATACTCTAAGTCAAGTTCCTAACAAGGTTTTAACATCATAAAACCTTAATGGGAAAACTATCAAATAAGCCCCCGTACTATACCGAAAAAGTCAATTAGGCCCTCGTACTTTACAAACACTCAATTAAGTCCTCGAATGATTAAAAAACATTCAATTAAGCCCTTTTGGTTGGTAAGTAATCGGTTTCCCGGTTAAATGCAACCTGTTTCCCGGCAGCCGCCGTTGCTAGGGTTCGAGCACATCGTCGCTGTCGTCGCCGTTTAACTGGGAAACCGGTTACTTACTGACCGAAAGGGCTTAATTGAACGTTTTTTAATAGTTCGAGGACTTAATTGAGTGTATGTAAAGTACGAGTACCTAATTGACTTTTTTGGTATAGTACAGGGGCTTATTTGATAGTTTTCCCTATGTTTTCCGGTGAACAATAAAAGGTTATTTTCCGGTGAACTTGTCGGTTTAGCTTCTAAATCCATTTTTTGACATAGAACCACCTTCCAACCCCTTGTTCCACATTTATCAACATGTAGAACAATCCTAGGGTTCTTCATAATTTCTCAAATAATAATATATTCAAGAAAAAAGAGAGAAGAAAGGTAGAAAGAGTCATTGCCTAGTTTTTCCCCGAGTTTCGTACACTTTTAGAACTTAAACTCTTCTCTGGAGCTTCCTTCTGGTTGGAGCTTCCTTCAACAATGGTGAGAGGTGGCTGGAGCTCTTCTTGCTCTTGGTTGGGGTGGTGTGGTCGAAAATAATGGAGAGAGGGGGTTGGGGTTGGCTTTTTGTCTCAATAGGCAATTATGTGTGGGTTGAGAGACCCACCTTTGTCCTTTAGATGCCTCTCAAGTCAACCCAACCTCTACCCACCTTCCTTCTCTCACTAAGCCGACCCACACCTCATTTTGTGTGTCTAAATTCGTGGGTTGGCCCCCACCCATGTGGGAGGTCAACCCTTTTTGTCCAGAAGTGTACAATCGGTCCCGAAAGTTGTATTTTTCGGATTGTTTTAGATATATTTTATTTTATCGGGTCAAATAAAATATATTATGTGTTCCCAATCATTATGACCCTTATAATGAATATACATCCCCAAATTTAATTTATAAGTTCCCGAAATTCATTTCTGGCTTTTATCTGTTAGATTACCAGTACCGGTATTTTGGCCTTTTTGATCAACCGGTCAACTCTATATCATTTCTTTGGACCAAATAAATTATCCACCACTATATAAATATTATATTGACCAAGATGAATAAATATACGGTCTCGGGAATATCGGGCGGCCCCCGCTCCCGGTGCGGGCCCCACGTGCGAATTTACTATTCACGCAAAAACATTAATAAAAATTCACAACCTCGAATACTCGTTAACCATTCCATAAGTTCAATACATTATTTACTTAAAAGTAAATACTTTTTGGGGACGGTGTTACAGCTATACCTAGATTGCGTGAATTGTGTGGTGCTTCTACATTGATGGGTAGGTTTTTTCATCAACGTTGTGCATGTCATATTCTAAATTTGTGTGTACAAGATGGATTAGCGGCATTAGGAAATGCTTTGGAGGTAGTGAAGGGGGGAATTAAATTGATTTGGGCTAACACTCCACTAAAAATGCAATGGCGGCAATATTTGAAGGAAAGACGTGTCAATTATTGTGCTTTTCCTAAAGATTTGTCTATTCGTTGGAATAGTACTTATAACTTAATTCAAGTACTTATTAGATATAAAGAACATTTTCCTGCTTTTTTAAGACAAACTTGTAACTATATTATAAACCCGGCTGACATCGACACTTGTGAAAAAATTGTTAATGTTTTGGTATATTTTAATAACGCAACTCAAACTTTTAGTCATGTTTATAAACCTACCGCAAACGAATTTTTTGTTGAAGTTGTTAATCTCGCCGGCGCATTTTTAGAATTTTCCGATGCCGCTTACGTTAGTTATTTTTGTGATTTCATGAAACAAAATTTTTTAAAATATTATTCACATGTTCCGCATATATATGGTATTGCATTTGTTCTTGATCCTCGTTATAGACTTGCCGCGTTGCCAAGTTGTATAGATTACTATTATAATTGTTTTTTTCCAACTCAAGAGTTCGATGATAATCCCATCGACCCTAAACAAGAATACAACGAGGTTAGTAATTTATTTCATCAATTGTATAATGAATTTCATGCACAATATGGTAATGCACCCCCTCCCATGCCGCAAACATCTTCTTCATCTAAAGGAAAATCACTTTTAAAATCTGCATTTGGTTCTCTTATGAAAAAAAGTAGAGCAACTCCCGCTACTGAACAAAGCTCAGTTAACGAGCTTTCTATCTATCTAACATTGAATGTTGATTATGAAGTTGGGGATGACTTTGACGTTCTTAAGTGGTGGAAGGACAATGAAAGAACGTTCCCGGTTTTATCAAAACTGGCTAAGCAAGTGCTAGCAATGCCGATATCAACAGTTGCCGTGGAACAAGAATTTAGTGCGGCCGGCAACGTCTTAACTGATTATAGAACAAGGTTGAGCCCGAGCTCTCTTGAGACGCTAGTTTGCTTCCATGATTGGTTGAAGGCCAAACGAAGAACTCAAGAAATGACCATCGCTCCCACCC